TTAGTGGCATGTGTGACAATGTATATATGTCAAATCTGTGTGTGATGACATGATGTGACAGTGTACAAGTGACAAGTGTGTGTATGGTGGCATGTGTGACAATGTATATATGTCAAATCTGTGTGTGATGACATGAGTGCACATGTCAAATATGTGTGTGGTGACATAAGGTGGCAGTGTACACATGTCAAGTATGTGTATGGTGGCATGTGTGACAATGTATATATGTCAAATCTGTGTGTGATGACATTAGGTGACAGTGTACAAATGACAAGTGTGTGTATGGTGGCATGTGTGACAATGTATATATGTCAAATCTGTGTGTGATGACATGAGGTGACAGTGTACAAATGACAAGTGTGTGTATGGTGGCATTTGTGACAATGTATATATGTCAAATCTGTGTGTGATGACATGAGGTGACAGTGTACAAATGACAAGTGTGTGTATGGTGGCATGTGTGACAATATATATATGTCAAATATGTGTGTGATGACAGTGTGCACATGTCAAATATCGGTATGGTGGCATGTGTGACAATGTATATATGTCAAATCTGTGTGTGATGACATGAGGTGACAGTGTGCACATGTCAAATATATATATGGTGGCAAGGGTGACAATGTATATACGTCAAATCTGTGTGTGATGACAAGAGGTGACAATATTCACATATCAAATATATGTGTGGAGATACAGGTGGACAATGTACGTATGTCAAATTTTGTGTGGTGATATGGGGTGACATTGTGTATATTTCGTATTTATATTAAACTGACAAAACACGTTTGACTATCTTGAACTATTTTTAAAATGTTTATGTTAGACATAGGTTAAAAGTGTAATAATGTTTTATTATTTTGTTCCATAGAAGTTGTCAGCAAAATAAAATTGTTTGCCTGGCCAATATTTTCTAAAACTCACCCGGCCCGGACACGGCGAGGATTGACAGATCGAGAGCTGTATACCACACAACGAAATGTTGTTCACTGTTGACTGATGATCAGTGCCGATTTTTGACGTGTGAGTACCTTACTTTAATGCAACAAATTCAACTTTAATATTCTATCAAGTTATCAGCTTGCACGGCTCAAACTTTGATGCCCAATTGAATTGTTATGTGGTATGGAACCTATACTGGGTATGACCATATACCATTTCTACAGCGAGTGCCTCTCAAAAGTAAAATATTAGTAATGTAAGATAATAATTATATTTATGGTTGCAACACATTATTGTACAGCGCATTACCAAATTTCAACCGGAAACCCAGCTAAAGAGATTTGGACAACATATACAACAGTAGATGACATCGTCACCTACTGTAGGCTGGGTGGCGTCGATACTTATCGTGGATGCTGTTGACACACGACTCGAATAATGTCGTCGACTATCCTGGACGATGTCGTCATTGTCACCTAGCCTGAATGGTAACATCACCTAGCCAGGATGGCGTAGTCATATCACTTGAACGATTCGTTACCTAGGATGGGTCATGTCGTCACGTAATGTGGATAGTAATCGTGTAATCTGGTGAACAATAGAGAGTAGAATAAGTATCAGGTTTTCGTCACACGATAATCGAATTTGAAATCTAGACACCCGTGTTTTGAACAGTGGGAAAACAAGAAATTATATCAGCGGTCATCGATATACTGATTAAGGTTACGACCTGTTAAATTAACATGAACTTAATGATTGCATTATATAGTGCGAAGGGACTTGGTTGCAACGGGTGTTATGGATATAGGCACGTAATTAATTGAAAATTGGTCCTCTCGAGATCCTCATTCTGATAATGTACTTGGATTAAGTTGCGGTGCGTCCACGGAGGTCTCAAATCACGTGCGTATCCTGTGAAAGGGCTGTAGTGGTTTTAACTTTACAATTCGACTCAATGTTACACAAACAAGTAAAAGACCCCCGACTTCAAAGTCAAACGTAGAAATTAAACAACAGTAGGTGTTTATATGATTTTAACAAAGAAATACGAACGTGCATGTATGCCTGTATGGCCTCGCGTATGGCATGTTATTGTAATTGCGATGTAGAGCAGGAAATTGAAATGTGGAAGAATCGAGGACACTTTTGGTCCATAACTGAACCAATTAAGAACGTGATTAATATGTCTGATTTGTGTTATACCTATTCATTCAAATAAATGAATCATCCTTGCTGCGTAGCAACGGAATAAACTTCCTGTTTATGTAGACCAACTGTTAACGAAATCCACCCATGCCCTGCCCGTTCTCGCCCCTAACATTCGAAATGACTGAATTCCACGTCAAGTAATACGGATAAACTGATATTTAGAATAATATTATTCATAATCGAACGGTATAACTTTAGTGTTTTTGTTTGTTCAGGTTGCTGGTATTACGTCAACAGTATTTCATTATTGCACAAAAGCATTGCATTTACGAGTCACCGCTGTAAACAACGCATTTTACGTGTGGTTCACAATAACTATGGTAAGACTGAAACGTTGTAAATATTTAGTCGCACGATCGC